CAGACCCACTGCTGTTGTACTGAGTTCACCGTGTTAAAGAGAAGACGACGAGCTGCCAAACACTGTGAGCTGCGTTCTCCATTTGAATCGAATCTCATATTGATGAACCCGTCCTTAAATCCAAAGCTGTTTTCAGTCGATGCATGAACAAAACTTAACCAAACATTGCTATAATGTAGCACTTCCTGTCCGATAATCACAATAACAGTTGTGCATTTTTACTTGTGATATGAAACAATGTTTCAGCTTTTCAAATTCTGTCAGTGTTATAATGAAAATAAAAACAGCTTGAGATCAATGTCACATTTACCTCAGAAATCACATTCAATGTCCATAAACTTGATAGTCAGCTAGAAAAAAATAACTCTAGAAAGGAGCATTATGATAAATATATGCACTATATTACACTATATGTCAGCCCAAAATCAAAAGAAATAAGAAATATGTTGCATAAACAAAATATATTGTAGTGTTTATTTGTAGTATTAAGGATAATTGATCATTTAGATTTTTTTGCATTGTTTTGCATAATTTCCATGATGATAAAACACATTTCCTACCAATTCTTATTGCCATAATGCAATTAAATAAATAACATAAAATAAAATTAATTAATTAATTAATGCAATGCATCAATGATCAGTAAAATTCTTGTTTATTTATTTATTTATTTATTGGCAAAATATTAACATTAACAATGCAGTATGTGATTTAATAATTTATGCTGATTTAAATGAATCATAATGAAAATTGTATGAAAATAATAATAGTAGTAGTAATAAAAAATGATACCATATAATGATAGAAATAACAATCATAGATAATGTAGATTTGCATTGCAGTGTTTTGCACATTTCCATCAAAGTCTCTTTGCCATAATGAAAGAAAAAGTCATTTATGTAATGCATCAGTAAACTTTTATTTGCTTATTTGTTTATTTGCTGGTGAAATATTCATGAACCATGCATATAATAAACCTGCCACGAAATGTCACAAGAAATAAGAAATGATATGTTAAAGCTAAAATGTCGTTTTTTTTTTGCATTATTTTAAAACATTTCCCTGTAATTCTCATTTACAGTAATGCAAAACGTCACGATATACTAATATATGCATCATGAAAAAAATGCACCAATGCAATTGAATCGAATTGCGTGCTTGTGAATGGAAATGGGTCTGAATGGTGAAATTTGTCTGGATAACCAGTCCCAGTCCTGAGTGTGTTTGTAGAGTCAGGGGTGGAGAGATGGATGCATGTCCTGCAGAGGTCACTGAGATCTTCTAGGAGCTTCACATTCCCCTGATGTCTTCAGATGGATGAGCTGCTCTCTCTCGTTCGCTCGGATGAGCTTTAAGCTACAGGCAGCAGAAGCCGCGTGATATACGGACTGAAACACCAGTCTGTTTTCACATCAGAGTGCTGTGTAAATAAAGCGCGCCAGAATCCTCGTCGTGAAGCGCTCAGGTGAATGTGACGGGTGGCGCTTGACCTCTGACCCTGCCGGGTGACGGAGAGGTCGCTTCTCTTATTGAGTTTGTTCAGCCATTAGTTGCATCAGCACAGATTCGATTTGTTTCTGTATCGCCGGGGGAATTTGATTAAATGCATCTTCCTTTTGCATAAAGTCAGAGCCAGAGGTCAAAGTGAGGAGACCAGCTGATTGGAGGCAAGATTAAAAATTCCATGAAAGTTCTTATATGCGTTTAATAAATCAGTGCAATATTCTACTCTACTCTACTCTACTCTATTATTCTATTCTATTCTATTCTGAACATTGATTATATAATTCTAATATTACAATATTGCAACTATAACAAATATTAGAACTTCCAATACATTGTTAAAAAGTTATAATGGTTTAATTATTCAATGCTATAATAATATAATAAATATAATATAATATAATATAAATATGCATAATATTAAAATATGCTATAATTACAATATTATAAATATTATTGCAATTATTACAATTTTTACCTAAATTGTAATCTAAATATTAAATACTTATGTCTATTAACGTCCAAAAGATGTTTAAAAAGATATTGGTTTAGTTATTCAGTGCAATATTTTAAATAATATGGTTTATAATATAATATAATATAATTATGCATAATATTAAAGTATGCTGTAATTACAATATTATACATTTAATTGCAATTATTAAAATTTTTATCTAAATTTTAATATAAATATTGAATATTTAAGTCTATTAAAGTCCAAAAGATGTTAAAAAAGATATTGGTTTAGTTATTCAGTGCAATATTTTAAATATGGTTTATAATATAATATAATATATGCAATTTTAATGTAAATATTATAGCTTAAGTCTATTAAATTGACTATTTAAGTTCATAATTCATGTTTCTGATCTTAATGTGATTCTAATTGTTATCAGTGCATGTTATTGCGCCTTTCATTAAAATAATAATAATAATATCTTACTCTGCCTCTGAAATGATTTTTCATTTCTGTTGATGTAATCAAGGCTGCACATCATGGAAAAGTAATGTTAACCATTAATATTTTAGCAAATGTTTCACGTTTCAATCAAACTCCACTGAATAAAAAAAATGTTAAATGTGTTTGTGAGTGTTTCTGACATGCATATGTTTATGTCTGTGTAATGGTTTTATGACATTCCTGTATGAACTTTAATAGAATGAACATGCTCAGCTGTACTGAGGTAGAAATAAACACAATAAAAAAATCACAGCAACAACCTGACAGAAGATACTAATGTTCTGTAAATTATTATTTTTATGTTTAATGACAGTGAGAGCCTGATATCTCTGTGATATGCAGATGCAGCTCATTAATATTTAATTAAACGGAGCTGTGTCTCATTTTGGTCAGCTTATCATCTCTCCTTCTTCGTGTTTGTGTGTGTGTGTCTGTCTGTGTGTGTGTGTGTGTGTGTGTGTCTGTCTGTCTGTCTGTCTCTGTGTGTGTGTGTGTGTGTGTGTGTGTTGTCTCTGTGTTTGTTTGTGTGTGTGTGTCTGTCTCTGTGTGTGTGTTTGTGTGTGTGCGCATGTGTGTGTGAGTGTGTCTGTCTCTGTGTGATTGTGTGTGTGTGTGTGTCTGTCTGTCTGTCTCTG